TCAGAGAAAGGGAGATACCCTTGGCCATTGAGGCCATAGATGGTAGACCTTTAAATACTCCAGTCGTTACTCATGAAACTGTACCATTATTCATGTACACAGGGGTTTTACACTTTGAGACCATTCGGTTTCAGGTTATCACCTCTCCCTCTTCTCATATCGTGTTAGGGTACCCTTGGTTGTGTTCTCACAATCCCATTTTTGACTGGGAATTGGGACAATTAAAATCATGGGGTAAAACCTGCCACGACTCTTGTATGATTAAAGTCACCCCTCTAAATACCATTAATGTTCCTACTACTCCTCTTTTGTCTACTGTTATACCTCCTCAGTACTTGTTTCTCAAAACTGTATTCGATAAAAGGGAAGCTGATAAATTACCGCCTCACAGATCCTATGATTGTGCTATCGATTTATTGCCGGGCACTTTACCTCCTAAGGGCAGGGTGTACCCCTTATCTATTCAAGAGAACCGTATCATGGAGGAGTATGTTAAAGAATCACTAGAAAAGGGGTTCATTAGGAGATCCTCTTCTCCGGCTGGAGCAGGGTTTTTCTTTGTATCTAAGAAAGAGGGTGATTTAAGACCGTGCATCGATTATAGAGGTCTAAACAAAATCACTATCAAAAATGCATACCCTATACCTTTAATTACAGAGTTATTTGACAGGCTGAAACATGCTACTGTGTTCACCAAATTGGACCTTAGAGGTGCATACAATTTAATACGCATAAAGGAAGGTCACGAATGGAAGACTGCATTCAACACTAGATCCGGTCATTACGAATATACTGTTATGCCATTTGGTCTTTGCAATGCCCCAGCAGTATTTCAGGAATTTATTAATGACGTCCTAAGAGACTTTATTCACACATTTGTAATTGTATATTTGGACGACATATTGATATATTCTACAGATTTACACACTCATCACAGGCATGTCACAACGGTATTGAAGACCCTTCTTAATAATGGTCTTTACTGTAAACTAGAAAAATGTTTATTTGACCAATCTGAAGTCCAGTTCTTGGGGTATTTGATTTCCGCCAAAGGGTTTCGTATGGATCCCCAGAAGCTTTCTGCTGTCATAGAGTGGCCTCTACCACAGGGTTTGAAAGCAATTCAACGTTTTCTTGGTTTCTCTAACTATTATAGACGCTTTATTAAGGGTTTTTCTTCTATTGTAGCACCTATTACCCGTATGACAAAAAAGGGTGGTAATACTCGTGTCTGGTCTCCCGAGGCACTTCAGGCTTTCGACTTTCTTAAAACTACATTCGCCTCGGCACCTATTTTACAGCACCCTATCCCCTCACTGCCTTTTATTCTTGAAGTTGATGCTTCTGAAATCGGGGTAGGTGCTGTTTTGTCCCAAAGAGAATCGCCTGAAAAGCCATTGCATCCTTGTGGCTTCTTTTCTAGACAAATGTCCAAAGCTGAAAGGAATTATGATGTGGGTAATCGTGAACTCCTTGCTATTATCTTAGCCCTTAAAGAATGGAGACATCTGTTAGAAGGAACTAAGGATCCTATTCTAATTTTTACAGATCACAAGAATCTATCCTACCTTGGTGAAGCTAAAAGATTATCTTCTAGACAGGCCAGATGGTCACTATTTTTGTCCCGTTTCAATTATATTATCACCTATAGGCCAGGTGATCGCAACATTAAAGCAGATGCTCTGTCCAGACAGTTCGAAACTACTGACAAACAGGAGGTTGATGTTACTCCTGTCATTCCCCCAGACAGGATAATAGCCACTACTATGTTGTCTATTTCTTCATCCCTCTTGCAGACCATACAGGCAAAACAAAGTATGGCACCTAGCGAGAGGCCTATTGATAAATTGTTTGTTGATGTTCCCGAGAGACGGGAGATTCTGTCATTATATCATGATACTAAGACTGCTGGACATCCTGGTATTACCAAAACGATGTCAGCCGTTTCTCGATATTTTTGGTGGGGTTCCTTACGTAAGGATGTCACTGACTATATAAGTGCTTGTACTACTTGTGCATGTATGAAAACGTCGCGTAGAGTTCCTTGTGGGCTTCTGCATCCCTTACCAGTTCCCGAGAGACCTTGGTCTAACCTATCCATGGATTTTATTGTTGAATTACCCCCTTCGAATGGTAACACAGTCATCCTGATGATAGTAGATCGGTTTTCCAAGATGGCTCACTTTGTGTCTCTTCGCAAGTTGCCCACATCCAAGGAACTGGCTCTTATCTTCGCTAGAGAAGTATTTCGGTTACATGGTATTCCTGTATCTATTGTGTCCGATAGGGGTAGCCAATTTATTTCCAGGTTCTGGAAAGCCTTTTGCTCAGAAATGGGTATTTCTCTCTCATTTTCTTCCGCTTACCATCCCCAGTTTAATGGAGCTGCTGAACGTGCCAACCAGTCTCTGGAGCAGTACCTTCGTTGTTTTGTGTCTCACCATCAGGACAATTGGTCTGACCTACTTCCTTGGGCTGAGTTTGCTCGAAATAATGCCACTCATGATTCTTCCGGCAAAAGCCCTTTTTACGTTGTCTATGGCCAGCATCCCGTTGTTCTTCCGGCTGCATTCTCCTCACAGGGCATGCCAGTTCTGGATGAGCATTTGGCTGGTTTGCGTAATACTTGGGAGCAGGTTCAGCGTTCTTTGGTGGATTCCGCTGCTCGCCAGAAGGCTCAGGCTGACAAGCATCGCAGGGCGGCTCCTACTTATGTTGTGGGGACAGGGTTTTGCTTTCCACGCGGAATATTCGCCTGCGGGTGCCTTCTATGAAATTGGCTCCCCGCTTCATAGGTCCTTATCGTATACTGCATAAGGTTAATCCTGTTTCATACGCCTTGGGTCTTCCTAGGAATCTGCGTATTCCTAATGTGTTTCACACTTCATTGTTAAAACCTTACGTACGCAACCGCTATACCCGGCATTCTCCGCCTCCCCCTCCTGTCTCCGTGGAGGGCCATGAGGAATTCGAAGTCTCTGCTGTTCTTGACTCTCGTTACCTTAGGGGTCGACTTCAGTACTTGGTGCATTGGAAGGGTTATGGGCCTGAGGAGCGCAGTTGGATTTCAGCTGATGCTGTTCACGCTCCCCGCCTTGTGCGTTCTTACCATTCTCGTTTTCCGGCCAGGCCTGGCCCTACCCGCCCGGAGGGCGTGTCCTCGGGGAGGGGTACTGTAGCGTTACTCACCTTCTCCAGGGGCCGGCCGCGGTCCTCTCTTCAAGCCGCGCGCGGTCATGCTGCTGCACGAGCCGCGCGCGGCTCATCCGACGGCTCCACTAGCAAGGCGGGCAGTGACCGCGAGAAGCGGTCACGTGTCCCGCCTGAATCTAAGAGCGCGCCGCGAGTCTCGGGCGCGCTCTTAAAGAGACAGTGGGAGCCTAAATTGTCAAAAGGCTCCCATTGGCCCCTGTCATACCACACTCCCCATACACTTACCTTTTGGGGGTGTGGATATGACAGGAGCCAATCACATTAGTTTTGAAGCTATTTAAACTTACCTCTCCCTCTACTCCCTGCCCTATCGTGGTTTCTGTATCAGTTCCCTTTAGCGCTTGTTGTGTTCAGTTGTGTTTCTCCGTATTGACCTTGGCTTTGTTTCTGACTACGTTTTCTCTTTATCCTTCTGTTCTGGTTGTCGGCTTGTTGTTTACTGTGTACCAGACCCCGGCTTGTCCTAGTTTACGCTGTCTCTCTGTGCCCTTGATTTCGGATCGTTCCTGACTCTGTCTCCTCTCATATACGTCGAGTCCGGCCATTCTAAGGTCCGGTAGACGTATCTCTCCTCTGTGTTGTCTTCTGTTTAGCTGAATCCTGCGTGTTGGGGTATATTCTCGTTACACAGACACACACTCACTGACAGACATACACTCACTCACTGACACACAAACTCACAGAATTTTATTTTTTTGAGGCAAATTCGGCCAACCTACCCCCCTGTGGTCCAGTGTGGGGCAGCTTCTCACTCCTCCAGCGCGCTGTTTGATATGCTGGGGCCGGAATGATGCCATTTTCCGGCTCCCGGAATCACAGAGGGCTTGTGAGGGAGGAGTGAGAAACTGCAAGAACAGCCTCCCTCGCCGCACACAATACAGCAGCCTGCCTCCTGTACCCCTCTCCTCCGGCATTTCACGGCAGAGCAGGCACCTGCCATCAAGTAAGCAGGTGCCTGCTCTGCCATATTTAAAAAGGACAGCATAGGGGGTGTGCCTTGAGGTGGCCAGATGGCCACCTGTGACAGGGCTCCTCAGGGTGCTCCCACTTTTAGGCATCTTGAGGATCGGCGCTGGGGGTGGTTCAAGAGCCGCTCGATCAGCGCTGTGGCCCAAGACAGGGGCAGCCCACCAGGAAACATCCCGGTGGGCGCCCCCAGCAGGCCAGCGCCCTAGGTGAATGCATAGTTTGCCTAACAGTGGCGCCGGCCTTGCCTTTGGATTTAGCTGCGATTATGTCGTTCGTAACTTTGATAAGAGATGCCTCAGTGGAGTGGAGGGGGCGGAAGCCAGATCGAAGAGGTACCCCGCCCACCGAAATCCTGTTTCACCAGACACTGCTTTTAAGGGGTATGGATTTACTTGAAAGATGAAAGCAAGACTTTAGCACAAAGTATGTGTTTTCTGAAAGCTATAGCTTGTGAGTTTTCCTCCAGCACCACCTCCACCAGATACATGATGATTGGGAGGTATGACTTTAGTGTTTTCTGTCAATATGATTCTATAACTAGGCCCATCATAACTGTCAGCACCAGGCCCAATAATATGGCCCTGGGGAGAGAGAAAAAAACATTTCCACTTCAAAGAACGCTCAATATGTCCGTCACTTGTATTTTATACACAGAATTGACATTTGGCAGCCTGGAGTTCCCCCCTATCACACAATTAACAATAACGCTGCAAGCTGAAACACTGCACACACTGACTCCTACTACTATGACCATTGTAATGGTCATGATGGTTATGTATATGTAGCCTGCATCCCTGCGTGCTGCCGGCATATATACTCTACATCCCTGCGCACTGCCGGCACAGGTAGTCTGTGTCTCCACACGCGCTGCCAGCATAGGTAGTCTGCGTCTCCACGCGCGCTGCCAGCATAGGTAGTCTGCGTCTCCATGCGTGCTGCCAGCATGCACTGCTGGCATAGGTAGTATGCGTCTCCACGCGCGCTGCCGGCATAGGTAGTCTGCATCTCCACGCCCGCTGTCGCACAGGTAGTCTGCGGCCCCACGCGCGCTGCCGGCATAGGTAGTCTGCGTCTCCACGCCCGCTGCCGGCATAGGTAGTCTGCGTCTCCACGCGCGCTGCCTGCATAGGTAGTCTGCGTCTCCACGCGCGCTGCCGGCATAGGTAGTCTGCTTCTCCACGCCCGCTGCCGGCAAAGGTAGTCTGCTTCTCCACGCGCGCTGCCGGAATAGGTAGTCTGCGTCTCCACGCGCGCTGCCGGCATAGGTAGTCTGTGTCTCCATGCATGCTGCCAGCATGCACTGCCGGCATAGGTAGACAGCGTCTCCACGCGCGCTGCCGGCATAGGTAGTCAGCGTCTCCACGCCCGCTGTTGGCATAGGTAGTCTGCTTCTCCACGCTCGCTGCCGGCATAGGCAGTCTGCTTCTCCACGCGCGCTGCCGGCATAGGTAGTCTGCGTCTCCACGCGCCCTGCCGGCATAGGCAGTCTGCGTCTCCACGTGCGCTTCCGGCATAGGCAGTCTGCGTCTCCACGTGCGCTTCCGGCATAGGTAGTCTGCGTCTCCACGTGCGCTGCCGGCATAGGTAGTATGCGTCTCCACGCGCGATGCTGGCATAGGCAGTCTGCTTCTCCACGCGCGATGCTGGCATAGGTAGTCTGCGTTTGGCAGCCTGGCACACAGTTCCCCCCTAGCACACAATTAACAATACCTCAGCACGCACAGAGTTTCAAGCTGGAACACTGCACATACTGTCTCCTACCACCATAACCACTTCAAATCATTGTAATGGTCATGGTGGTTGGAGAAACCCATCACGTGACATGGCAGGGTTTAGATTTTACAAACACCGAAGTGCCGCAGCAGAGGCGTGAGTGTATTCATTTCTCACCTCCAATGCATTATTCACCCAAACACTTCAATACTTGGAGGGACAGGGAGCAGTGAAAGTGTGAATCATTCAACATTTTTAAAAAAATACTTTTTTTCATGTTAAGAAAAACTCAAGCTCGGCCCCACCCCACACTGGCTGGCTGAGGGTGCTAAGTATTGCTGTCCATCTTTATTATTCTATATTTTACGGCAGGATTTATTATGAAGAAGCTGCTTTACGGCAGTGGAGTCAGATCTCTTTGCGTCACCTCGGACGCGCCCTGCGGCAGTCTCTAGATATTTTGCCTCCGTTCAAGCGCGCTGTTTTGGGGTTAGTGAGCCAGTTTTGTGTCAGTTGGGACGCGCTCTGCTTTACGGCAGTGTTCGTTTTCATTGCGTCCCCTTTAGACGCGCTTCGCTTTGCGGCGGTCTTACTGATTTACGACTTCCGTAAAGTGAGGCTGTGCAGAGGGTAGGGGGCGTGCTTTACGGCTGCGAGGTACTGTGAGGCCATGGATGTTGGGGAGCTGTTGCGGTATCAGGTAAGTCGTCCTGGGTTGGTATATAGCTCGGGCGGGGGGACGGGAGCAGGGACTCTGTGTGTCTCCGAGATACTCTGCATCGCTGTATATAGCAACCTGGTTATTGTATTCATGCCATGTGGGAATCAGTGAGCAGTTACTGTGTCCAGCCATTGAATAACTACCTTGTCTGTTTGTAGCCAGCCTGCCCGTACGGCGCCGCCTGCGCGTAGCCAGCCAGCCCGTACGGCGCCGCCTGCGCGTAGCCAGCCTGCCCGTACGGCGCCGCCTGCGCGTAGCCAGCCTGCCCGTACGGCGCCGCCTGCGCGTAGCCAGCCTGCCCGTACGGCGCCGCCTGCGCGTAGCCAGCCTGCCCGTACGGCGCCGCCTGCGCGTAGCCAGCCTGCCCGTACGGCGCCGCCTGCGCGTAGCCAGCCTGCCCGTACGGCGCCGCCTGCGCGTAGCCAGTGTTTACATGAAAATGCCTGAAGGGAGCTATTATACTCACCAGAACAACTACATTAAGCTGCAATTGTCCTGGTGACTATGGTGTCCCTTTAATTACTGATTAAACTTACAAACAGGATAAAATAAACTGCATGTCTCCACCAAAAGTGGATCTCAAGCTTGACAAAGACCTTGTAGGTCGAAATGTTGTGATGGAGTGGATTCAATAAAATTGCCTTGTTTGTACCTTGGAGTGCCTGGACCATTCTTTTATTTTTGTTACTCAGCATTTGGTCTCTGGTACTGAGACTGTTCGAGTTGCACCCAGCTACATACTACTTAAAGGGACAGAGTGCAGTTCCACACCCTACCATAACTACTTCTGTATCTGCGTGCATGTCACCCGTGGAACACAAGATGGAGTTCTGGCCCTACTTGCGTGTCCCGACATAATAGAATGTAATGTGCGTATGCGTCCCAACGTACGTTCTATGTATGCGTTCCACTCAGTGAACGTATGCTCTACCTTTTTTTTTTTTTACTTGTAGCTCTATTACACTATTCCTGTTTTATCTTTTTTAGGTTTTATCAGGTTTTTTTATTTTTTATTATTAATTGTGTAGGTTATTTATAGCTTTATTCACCTGGGTGTGCACGCTTAAAGTTAGTTTCTCCTTTTTATTATACTTTTGTGTACCATCTTACCTTCAGTTCGTCCCCCTTTGCTTAACAGGTCTGCCTCCTCTGGCTTCCATACCACTCCAGGATGGTTTTCCTTAGGCATACTATATATTATATAAACAAACTGATAGGAAGAGTATTCGCTATTGATAAGTATAAAAAGTTGAAGGACCACTCTAGGCACCCAGACCACTTCAGCTTAATGAAGTGGTCTGGGTGCCAGGTCCAGCTAGGGTTAACCCATTTTTAATAAACATAGCAGTTTCAGAGAAACTGTTATGTTTATTAATGCCTCTAGTGGCTGTCTCATTCACAGCCACTAGAGGCGCTTGCGTGATTCTCACTGTGATTTTCACAGTGAGAGCATGCCAGCGTCCATAGGAAAGCATTATGAATGCTTTCCTATGTGACCGGCTGAATGCGCGCGCAGCTCTTGCCGCCCGTGCGCATTCAGCCGACGGTGTGGAACGGAGGAGGAGAGAAGGAGAGCTCTCCGCCCAGCGCTGGAAAAAGGTAAGTTTAAACCCCTTTCCAGAGCCGGGCGGGAGGGGGCACCCTCAGGGCACTATAGTGCCAGGAAAACGAGTATGTTTTCCTGGCACTATAGTGGTCCTTTGAGTGTAGCCCAATTTTTTTTTTTTGTGGTTTTCATTTGTATTGTTCTGGGTTGTTGAAGTCTCAATCCTCGGGTTGGTTGGCTCCTTATGTTAGTCACAAGTAATGTAATTATTTTAGAGCATCTGGATTAATGCACCTGTTGGTTTGCTTTTACATTATATCTTATGTTTTACCAATTTTGCACTTTATAGTATTTGTATTATTTTTTTGCATTGGTTGAATCTTATGATTGCTATATTGAGTTGTTGCAAGAATGTTTGTTTAATACGGGGAATTTTGACGTCTATTGCTATCTATGTACTATTTTCTATTTTTGCAGAGAGCTGGCTATCCTATTATTTCACTTGGTTTTGATTGTCTCCCATTTCCAGTCCTTGTATTGCTTTTTATGTCCAGCCATACTCCCTAGTTACACACTTATTTGTGGTTTCTCAATGTCAGCAAAATCCACAGAGCCTGACCATTGACTCTTATGCTTAAATTAACACTCCGAGCACCATAACCACACTTTCGCTTTGGAGAGCCAGAAGGTCCTGCTAGGAGAATCTGCATTGCAGTGCTAGCTAATTGGCTGAGAGTGTCAGCTGATCGCTCTCAGGCACTATGCTAACCCCTGTACCTTTTAGCTCTGACTCTCATAGAGGCAAGGAGCGGTGCCCAGCAAAAGGCAGGTAAGAGTCAAACCATAATGGCTGATGGTTTGGCTATTTACTTTGGAGAGGGGGGCACAGTACTTCTGGCACAATAAACACTATAGAGTGTTGTAGTGGTTATGCTGTTTGTAGAGTTCCTTTGAGTCCACCCCTGCGGAGAGATCCAAATTGCAGATCGTGGCAGAACATGCAGTATCTTCCTTATATTTATTGACAAATTATGAGTTTGCTACAGATTCCTGATTACTAGTTTATCTTTACGTAAAATTAGCAGTTTCTTTTTTTTTTTTTTTTAACAGTGATTTCTCCATAATGTGCACATTCAATACATATTAAGATCTATTAAAGCGGCACTGTCACCGTCTGGGGACGTTGCAGAATTTGCAAAGATCCCCGACAGGGACATCGCCGCTGGGGGTTCAGTGGCCAAGATTGGGGGCAGGGAAAGTTCTGCTTACCTGAACCTATCCCTCACTGGTGCCGCCACCTTCTCCAGGAGCTGACGTCACTGCTGTACTCTCGCGGAGCAGATGAATAAATGAAAGCCAGAGTAGGAACGGGGAAGAGAAGAAGCGGTTGGGAAAAAATAAGTACTGCGTGACTGACTCTTTAAGAATGATTAATTGATGGGTAGAAGTTCAAATACCCAGAGAGACTACTTTAGACTTTAGAAATCCTATATGCCTTGTGTTCAGAACAAACCCAGCATTTAGGCATTTTGAGGTCCATTAGGTGTTTGAAGTTCAGACTGACAAGCAGGTCATGAATAATCAAACGTGTCATAGGGGAAGTAGAATGCTAAAGTAACAATCCAGTAAGCAGGGAGGTTACATATCATTTCAATCTGAAAATACATTGCTGCATGTGTTGAAGAAACATGGACAAGGCAGATAAACACAGTATGTGTCTTAATAAAAGCAGGTGTCTTCTTGTACTCGCAATGGCAGTGTGGGTTTACTTGCTGTCTGTGCGTGTCCGATGTATCTCCTCCTGCCAAGTGGCATAGCTCTGATATATGGTCACTTGCTTTATAAAAGTCAGAAAGTGCTTAGCATAACTTTCCTCAACTTTAGCAATACTAGGTTAGTTTTTTTGTTTTTTTGAGCTGGTAGTGTGTGTGTTATCATGTTTTCTTTCTGAAAAATGTTTCTATAACTCTGTAAAGGAACACGCATAAGTCATGACTCAGAATTTTGAGTCGTAAGCTACTGGCCAGTAATAACATTTGCCTTGGTACAAACCTTGCCAGTGTATGGCTCTCCATGCTTTACTACTTACATGGCTGTACTACTTACCAGCAGTAGCTCTGTGCTAATTAGCCATATCCCAAGGTAAGTAGCCGGTGTAGGACAGAGCATTCTTGGCACCATAACCACTACAAATGTGGACAGCAAGCTATGTTAATTTAACAAAACATGATTAAAAAAATAACACAACCCTTAGCTAACTGTTAGCTGTCCCCCCCACCCTCCAAACCAACCCTGGTTGGTTGCATTTCAGCTGAAGCTTTTTTCCAAATGAATTTCAGTGCAGCAGTGAACCTTGGAGCAATTTTGCCAGCCAAATTGAGTATTGAGCTGACTGACCGCAACCAACAATAGCTTTCCAGATTAGTAGGACCCACACTGCTTCCCTCTCCAATTATTAAAAGAACACTATAGTGTTAGGAATACAAACTTGTACCTGGCGCTATAGTGTCCTAGTTGCACATTAGTTTTAGTTCCCCCTCCCCCATATTTTCTATAAAAATCTAAAAAAAATAAGAGATTAATGTAAGTGGAAAAAAAAATGTTTTTACAGAAAATGGGGGGCTAAAATTGATCTGCAACTACAACACTGTACTTTTCTCCAGTGCGAAGATTACCTCGGTTCTGTGCCAGATCTTGCAGTGTAATTTGTCTCTCTCTGTGATGGTCAATGCAATACTACTCATGGAGAAACATGATGCGCATGTACAGCTAGCAGCAGGTGCATCCAAAAGCTTTTCATAGGAAAGCATTGCATTTAATGCTTTTCTAGAAGCTGCAACCTCACCTGACCGAGCGGAAGCAGGAGAGGTGCGTTTAAACCTGCAATCTAAAAATTGTGGTGTCTACAAAACGGCACTGTTTTACATTGCAGAGTTAAAATGACTGGACCACTGCAGCCAGACCATGTCATTGAGATGATGTAGCCTGGGCGACTCTAATGGCCTTTTAAGTAATGTATGGAGACATTATCTCAGGTAGTACGTGTGTGTGTTTTATGTAGCGAATACATATTACAAGATGAATGAGATCATCTCTGCTGCGGTGTACAGTATATAAAGTATTAGGCGTTTGCTCTAACAGATCAGAGTTCATGGAAAAACATGGAGCTATTTTCTCTGGACTATGTTACAAGTTAGCAGGAAAATATGTATGAAATCACATTTTTAGCTGAACACCTTATTATTGCATTTATTTATATTCAGCATTCACACACACTTTATTTTTTTTCCTTGGGCTTCAGAATTTCTGAATATTTCACATCATAACTTCCATAATGATCACTCTTTTTGCTAGCATAATAAAATTCATATTTTTTTGGTCCAGCGGGTGTCAATTTCAGTTTTTCACACAAGGTGGCAATTAGCCGTGGGCCCCAACCCTGATCAAAGACCATATTGGTATTCAGCTCTGGAGAAGGAAAATAAATCAGAAAGAAAAGGAAAGTTATTGTGATTGGCTGGGGAGATTAGAATTACCATCTCATCTACGTGCAGACTTTAAAATGTTCAAGAATTGCACAATCAAAGCAACATTTTATGGAAATAATGCTTCTGTGAAACAGAATACCACCCTCCACCCTTAAGGCTATATTTAAATGTAGATATGATTATTCAGGCATTTGATTCTCATTTTAATGTGTGATCTCTCTGAGTTATTTTAATGTGTGACTAATACTACTCTCAACAACTCTTCCAGACTCCATGCCACCCCCCTGGTCTTGTCCCTAATAGTGTAGCTGGCAGAGACTCGAGGCTTTGGCAAAAAACGATTACCAGCTGCTTCACAAAATGTTGGTAAAAAACGAACAAGCCTAAATCGTAGAGATTTGTATGAACACTTTTGTATCATGTATATTGTAGAGAAAATAGGAGGCTATGTTGTTTATCCACTCAGCTGGGAATTGCGGAGAAATCAGGGCATTCGATACTGTAGGCTAAATGCCAAACAGAAAAATAATCTCCAGTTCTTCTTTGCAGCTTGGCCTATATTTTGCAATTTAACAATAATAACAATAACAATAATTTTGCAATAATAACTTCTTTATTTGTTCAGTTAAAGGAACACTATAGGGTCAGGAACACAAACGTGTATTCCTGACCATATAGTGTTAAAACCACCACCTAGCCCCCTTGCCTCCATACATATAGTAAAATCTTACTTGTATTAAAGTCTGCAGCTGCTGCCTCTACCCTTGATCTGCTTGCTTGGCTGACATCATCAGTAGTGATTCTGTGAGCCGATCACAATGCTTTGCCATAGGATTGGCTGAGACTGTGAAGGAGGCAGATAAGGGGCACAGCCAGCACAAGTCAAACACAACCCTGGCCAATCAGCTTCTCCTCATAGAGATGTATTGAATCCATGCATCTCTGATGAAAGTTCAGTGTCTCCATGCAGAGGGTGGAGACACTGAATGTCAGTCACACTGTGTAGCACTGCCCCAGAAGACACCTCTAGCAGCCATCTGAGGTGTGGCCAGTGGAGTTATCACTAAGCTGTAATGTAAACACAGTATTTTCTCTGAAAAGACAGTGTTTACTGCAAAAAGCCTGAAGGGAATGATTCAACTCACTAGAACAAATACCATAAGCTATAGTTGATATGGTGACTATAGTGCCCCTTTAATAACCCTCACTCCAGCTTGGCACATTGCAGTTCACGGTTCAGCGAATAATTCACTCAGTGTGCATCTTCACTTGTCATTTAATTGTGCAGGGTTAGCATATATACTAAAAAATAACAGCCACATTAACTGTGATCTTCTGTTGCCTACACATAATATCTGCCTTTCCTGCTGTCTTTGGAAGATAAAATTGGACTTTTCACATGCTGTAATTAATAATTTTAATTAAAGCCCATAACTCTGCCTCAGAGCAGCGAGTTGAGCGGACTGAAGGGATCCTCTAACATACCAAATCCCAGCACTTCATTAGAGCACGAGGCTAAGCTGGCAGGGCAAGATTAGTGAGTGGCTAACGAGGAGCATGAATTATTAATTGGCAAATTACAGTTCAGATTCTGAACAGGGTCCGAGCCTTGTACTATAACCTGCACACCGTACTTATAATTGCTTAGATTCCGAGCAGTTCTTCACTGCAACAGAATGTTACAAGGGATATATCATGGAAAAAGAATTTGTAACAATGTTCTGCAATTTAGCCTTTAAGGTAGGGCCAGGAAAAAGATATGAAACAACCTTTTATATTAAGGGATTTAATAGCTGAGGAATGTAGGCTTTTGTTCTGTTTTTATAGAAAATAATTAAAATTACATGGCATGGCTCTATAGTCGGAGTGTTGACTTGGCTGCTTAAAGGGGCAGTTGGAGCTTCGAAAGACGTGTTAAAGCTTAACCATACAAATATGCTTTATAGCATGTAGGCAGTGTGTTGTGGATAGAGGCAGTAGACTGATCCATGAAGCGGTTATGTTAAATTTTTGCTTTAGTTTCCTGTAGAAAAGGCACTAAGGTGTTAAGCCAGAAAGAATGACAAGAAAATCTCTTAGTGGGAGTGGGCAGCAAAAAGGACAAGGGGGCCTAGATCAAAGGGAATATATTCGGGTTTTTGCACTAGCAATTATCTGGTGGTTTTTGGTCTGCACCATTTGTGGTCTTTTCTGATTTTATTTTGTAGGTTGTTTATTTCTCTATGTTTATTCAGAATATCAGAGGAATCTTCTAAACATCTACTATTTTATAGGGTAACTTATTTTCATAATTACCCCCTTTTTAACCACTTGAGTTTTATATTGCATAAGGGGTTTTTACGCCTTTTGCTAACATCTGGAGAAGCATTGGCTCGGTGGATTGCGACGATTGCTACGCATGCAGATCGTCACAATCAACCTTTTTTATTTGTATGTGCTCCAACACTTTTCCATCTGAAGTTGCCAGGGTGTATGTACCTCCAAAAGAGGTGGAATAAATTAAATTTTCATCCAATCCAATGTTCCTTGTAGATGAGTTTCCCCCATTACCGGGACACTTGGCCAGAATACTCCTGGCATCACAACTACTATGGAGGGCTGTAGTAACCTTTTAAAACATTTAAAAACTTTTTTTTTTTTAATTACAATTTTGATATTTGGATCTACAAATGTGTGTTAGGTTGAGCCATTTGGCTTTGTCTGCCTCTTTTGAGTGGCTCTTACATATTTTGTTTTGGTTCAATCTACGGTGACCCTTTGGATAGTCCATTAATAGAATAAAGTCCTTTAGACTAGTAATTTATAAAAAAAATAAACACTGATGCAGTGATGACTTGAATCATATAGTATCTGCCAAAATATGGAGGATATGTTTGAAAGGAGACTTGATTATATGGTCACCACCTCTTCTCAATTTGACAGTAGACAATACATTTAAGACATTTCAATGTGTGTGTGTGTATGTATATGTATGTGTGTATATATATATATAATTTATTTTATTAAAAGTACATTTAGTTAGAAATTGTTCTTATTTCATGTACTGTGCTTGATTCTTATCATTAGCTCATTTTCTTTTATTTGAAGACATTTTTAACCTGATCTAATATTCACTGCATGAGAAAGCAGTTGTGTACCGGCTTCCCCGCTATTTTCAGAGAACGGTTTCTTTCTGCATTCCTCAGAGCTCCCAATGCTTCAGTAAGTAGCTTCAGACACTATTGTGCAAGGGGTGAGCAGAAAATGACATCTCCTAGAGATGACGACTCCTACGGGTAGGCATTATTGCCAGTTCAGAAGAGACTAGCGCATTGCCAAGTGGAAATGGATAAGGAGTTGAAACATTTCTAATACTGTTTGAAGGAGTGATGATCGGTCTAGAAAGCCATAGATTGTGGATTTGTAAGTCTGCAAAGTTGGCGTTAAAGTATTACAAAAGGCCACAGCAGGGCTGCTATCCAACACAGAAAGGGTTGACGAAAGTTATGCTTATGAGTCAGACTGACATCCAGAAGGGGTGTTTTAATGCACTAAACTGAAATGTTAGTGTTTGAACCTGGATTTCTTTAAATTCCTGTGATAAAAGCTTTCCCACTTTAATATATAATCAAGTTTTTTAAATTCATAGTCCTAAGTGTGTAGTTCTCTAGAAAGTTCTATTATTTTGCTGAACAACGCGCAGGGAAAAATATTTTCTGCTGTATCCTGAACGAAAGAAATATGTATATATTGTGTGTGTGTGTGTGTGTGTGTGTGTGTGTATATATATATATATATATATGTTTTATACTGTGAGAAGAAGGCAGACAGGCGGAGGCAGTGTTATGCTTTGAGCAATTTCCTGCTGGGAAACCTTGTGTCCTTGCATTAATGTGAATGTTACTTTGACACGTACCACCTACCTAGAGATTGTTACAAACCACGTACACCTTTTCATGGCAATGGTGTTACCCCATGGCAGTGGCCTCCATCAGTAGAATAATGCACTCTGCCACACTACAAAAAATGTTCAGGGATGGTTTGAGGAACATGGCAAATTGTTCAAGTTGTTGCCTTGGCCTCCAAATTCTGCAAATATCAATCTGATTGAGCATTTGTGGGATGTGCTGGAACAACGAATCTGATCCGTGGAGCCCCCTCCTTCAACTTGCAGGAGTTAAAGGATCTGCTGCTAATGTCCTAGTGCCAGATATTAAAGGACATGTTTAGAGGTTTTGTGGATTCCATGCCTAAACGCATGATGCACATACTTTGAGCTCACTTGGCCGGTTCACAAATTGTCAAGCTTGTTGTATTCTGAGAGCCACAGGATTCGGGTTCCTCAGTTAATGCTTTCATTCTTGGGCAATGTTAACATCCACAGCGGTATCAAAATGAGCTAAATTTTCAACTTAACCTTTTTGGTAAAATACTTTTCTGCATCTTATGTAGACTGTTTATTTCTGTTAACATGCCATGATTTTTTTTTTCTCCCTGTGCAGCCAGATAGAGGCACAAAACGAGGGCGTGAAGATGATCCTGAGGAGCCGAAAGTTTCGAGGAAGGAGAGGGGAAGCCGCAAGTGGCTTCGTGAGGAAGATAGAGGGACATCAGAGGACCAGAGGAATGCTTTGGATGCAGTTCCTGGAGGGGAAGATGGAGAGGAGGATGAGGTAATTGACATAAATAATTCCCATTGATTTACATCTATTTTTATCTGCAAGTGTACTCTGTATTCATCTGTAATATGCCAGTGACTTGTGGGTCTTCCCTTTTAAGCATACAGGGTGCTACTTAAAAGATTCTGGGGGTCGAGGGAGACATGCAGATTTGCTTGCTTGCTCTACTCCGTCCCTCTTTGAGACTGAGGCTAGTTCCCTGTAGGTTTTCTCTTTTTATATATACTTTTTACCTAGCAATGTCCTTAGCACGGTGTTATAACATTGGTTCCCAAATCAGTCTTCATGGTCCATCAACAATCCAGGATTGATGTATTTTGCTGTTTTATTCCATTGGAGATGCTGAAAAAATCTGGACTGTTGGTGGGTCTTGAGAACTGGTTGGGAAACAATTAAGGCTTGCTCTCAAACTCCCACTACTCCTGGGCAGCAGCAATGGCTATGTTCTATATATGTGGGCTGATGCATACTGGAACCATTGCTGGGGTGTAATTTGGTGTGTTTATATTTGCTTTTGTATTTCACAGACACGTTACAGTGCCAGTGCTTCCACCCATCCCATGTGTACCCTATTAATGTTTAATAAGTTGGGGTTTATAAGAAATATCCTTTTTGGTCGTGTTAGAGATTTTGCCTTTAATTAGAAAGCACCAAGGTCAAATGTTAGTGTAAGACTCACCTAAGAGGTTTGCCTTGATGTGGCAGGTGAGCTTACACTTTAATGGCCATTGGAGTGCTACCAAAAGTCTTGGATTTGGGATAGAGGGTAGGTAATTTTTTATTTATTTGTATTTGCTTTTGTTCAAGACAAGATATCTGCCATGATCATTAGGTCTGTAGTGTTTATTTAAATAAGAGATAATGCGAGAACTAATTAGTTCTTACATTGTATGGTTTTGTGCATGCAGCCACTGATCCAAGTATGTCGCTTTTATTTTTCAGTAACTTATTAACGGTCTGACGTGTTTCACTGCACAATCATTAAAAACAAACTAATAGACCGCGAATATTACATGAAATAAAAGTTGCTGAGATACTTGCTTCTGAAAGCTTACAGTGCTTAAAATGTTATATTAATGTATAATTACACATGCTAATATGCATAGACATGTCTGGGCACGACTTCTGTGTTTTTGTTTTTTTTCCTTAAATGAATTCTAATAGAAAACCGTATTTACATATGCAAACTACTAATGTACCCAGAAATTCAATAGATGGATAGTATATCAGGAGAGAACAAAAATAATTCATTGCTAAATGACTTGGTTAGAATTTCTGTCACATAAACTTAGAAATGTTTCATGGTACAAAATAAAACCATCCAATGATCTATGCTAATCTCTGAACTGCTTTAGTACGTGGGGATATATTGTTCACATATGTCTATATTGATGTCTGATCTTTGCAGAGAGACTGTGGGAATTTTAGCATGCATCACATAATCATTGATGCTTGGAGTAGTCATTTCATTGTCTCTTCATTCCCAGCTTTTGCCCATTTTCACTTTCCTTTTTATGTTCAGATGGAGACCTTGGATGAGAGTTCCATAAAGAGAATGATCCTCACCTTTGAGAAGAGATCCTACAAGAATCAGGAACTACGCATCAAGTTCCCTGACAACCCTGAGAAGTGAGTAGCCAGTGGTCTTTATAGCTGTCTTTCCCTGACCACCTCCACCAGACATGCTTGGCTCATGGTCAGGGCCGTCTTTACCGCGGGGCAAACGGGGCAGCTGCCCCGGGCCCAGTTACTCTTGGGGGCCCGAAGCAGCTGCACCGTGGGCCCCGCTGACCTCAAGCATTTTTCCCAACTGCCGGTGCAGCCACGCACCCGGTGGGCTTCTGTCAGCAGGGGCCCGGTCTTGCGCTCTGGCGCTTTAAGAGCGCGACCAGGCCCTCTTGCTTTTCGGCAGCCGGCTAGGAGGAAGTGACGGCTGCACGTCACTTCCTCCCATAGAGAGAGGAGCGCGCGGGAGGAGGAAGAGGCAGAGCGGTGGGGGTCTGGGCCGAGCTAGCCAGACCCCAACTCCCAGCAGCTTCAGCCACTGGTAGGAAAGTCACCCTCCAACGTAGAAAGGGTGGGTTTAATAGTGTAAATTTTGCATGTGTATCTGTGAATGTGTCAGTATGTCTGTCAGTGCGTGTGTCAGTATGTCTGTCAGTGCGTGTGTCAGTATGTCTGTCAGTGCGTGTGTCAGTATGTCTGTCAGTGCGTGTGTCAGTATGTCTGTCAGTGCGTGTGTCAGTATGTCTGTCAGTGTGTGTCAGTATGTCTGTCAGTGCGTGTGTGTGTCAGTATGTCTGTCAGTGCGTGTGTGTGTCAGTATGTCTGTCAGTGCGTGTGTGTGTCAGTATGTCTGTCAGTGCGTGTGTGTGTCAGTATGTCTGTCAGTGCGTGTGTGTGTCAGTATGCCTGTGTGTGTGTCTGTGAATGTGTGTCAATATGTCTGTCAGTATATGTGTGTGTGTGTGTCAGCATGTCTGTTAGTGTATGTGTCTCTGTGTGTCCATATGTATGTCAGTGTGTGCATGTCTGTATGTCGGTGTGTACATGTCTGTATCAGTTTGACTCTTTTTGTCTGTATGTCGGTGTGTGTGTTGGTGAATGTCAGCATGTCTGTCAGTGTGTCAGTATGTCTGTGTGTGTCTCAGTATATATCTGTCTGTCTATGTGTCAGTATGTCTGTCAGTTTATGTGTCTGTGTAAGTATGTCTATCAGTGTATGTTTGTGTGTCACTTTGTATATCTGTGTGTATCTATATGTTGTCATTTTTTGTATCTGTGTGTTTGTCAGTGTGTATATATGTGTGTGTATCTGCAAGTGTGTCAGGTGTGTATATGTGTGTCTGTGTAACTGCATGTGTGTCAGTGTTTGTATCTTTGTGTATGTCAGGATGTGTATCGGTGTGTCTGTATGTGTGTCAGTGTGTATCTGTACGTTGTCTTTGTGTGTTTCAGTGTATCTGTATGTTATGTTATTAGTATGTGTGTCAGGTTGTGTGCATATCTACCTGTGTGTTTGTGTGTGTATATGTGCATACATCTCAACATTCACACGCTAACACTACACACAAATACACCCCTGCATTCAAGCTTCAGCACAACATACAAATACACGTCTGTGTTAAACACCAACATTATATGTATACACACCCCTGCATTCAAAAACCAACACTACACATAAATACATGCTTACATTCAAACGCCAATGCCACATACAAACATATTCCATACAAAAACCTGTTTACATTGAAACACACAAAAACAGCTTAGTGCTAAATACAAACCTGCAAATATGGATAAATGGTAGAGCCCCAGCTGTCAAGGCATTGCTGGAGTTGCACAACAGATGGGGATCTACCTTTTAAACATCCTTGCAATAGAGAGGCCCAAAAAAAATATTCTTGCACCTCTCTACTTTAGGTAGCCACTGCGTTAAGGGTGATAACGTGTTTGCACGCCTGGGGAGGGTGTACATGGTCCAGGGGGCCCAAGCAAATGTTTTGCCCAGGGTCCAATCAATATTAAAGACGGCATTGCTCATGGTTCCGACCTATTCAATAATTATCTCACCCATTCGCAAACTGACCCTTCTGAAATCTTCTGTCTTGTCTCCCAGCTAATGTCAGCTCTCCTGTAACTATATACTGGTTTTCTTTTTTAGGTTTATGGAGTCCGAGCTAGACCTGAATGACATTATACAAGAGATGCATGTAATCGCAACTATACCCGATTTGTACCATCTACTGGTGGAACTCAATGCTGTGCAGTCACTGCTAGGCCTCCTAGGGCATGAAAATTCTGATATCCTTTCAATTGCTTGGTGCTGAATGTGGGTGGTCTGATGGAACTGGAAGGAAGATTAGAGAAGTTGCTGGGGAAGCTTAGGTACACAGAACTTTAGTGAAAGTGCTAGAAAATTAACTTTTATACATTGTGGTAGCAAATGAATAGATTGTCTGATAATCAAATGAAAATTATGGTCACTTCCTTCTCCTGTCAAAGAGTTTCCCAGATAAACCTCCCTGCCATCAGAATAGTGTTATATGCCAACACTTGAATAACAGGAGAGAGCAGGATACAGGTTATTCTCTTGCTCTCCATCAAAAATATTGATGTAACAAACGTGTCTTGTGCTTATTGGGGAATATAGAAACTTTGTGATCTGTTTTGATACGAGTCCATCTTGAGACAGTGACAAAGTGGGGCAGGAGCAAGTTTAGACAGTAAGGGGGTTATCAACCATGAATCTGGTATAATGGCTGCACTAGCATATTGGAGAATAAGTACTACAGATAATGCCTTAATATTTATCTTTGTGATTAATTATATATTTACTGAATTACTAGCTGTTGTATGTTAACGGGGCACTCTAAACGCCATAACCTGTACAGCCATTTCAGTGGTTATGGTGCCAGCAGGCTACTGCAGTTGTCCCCCAGTTATTTGTCATATGTTTTTTAAGCAGTTTGACACAAAATTATGGTCACCTCATTTCTTTTTAGATGAGCCGCTTGCTCACCATTTTGCTAATGTGGAAGTTGCATTAGCAATATCAATGTCCATATTTGTACAACAGTGATGTATGCCGGTAGCACCATACCCACTACAGTGGGTTGCTCTTTAAAGTGTACCTGTCATAACAAGTTCACTTTAAATTCCCTTGAGAAATATTTGTGATTTGGCAGCAACTTAACTTGGTTTTTCCTTAAATAATCCTTTTGTTTGTTTTTAGCTGAATGTCTAGATTCTTAATTCACTATTGCTATCCTCTCCATGTTAATGTAAGGAGTATTAATGTCGGTATTTATTTTGGTCAATTTATGTAAAGATGTACACCCTGGTCTACCATAGACGCATAGACAACTTTTTTCCTTAGCCTGTCACATGTCTGTATTGCTGTGGTTGACCTGTTGCAGGAGCTCACAGATATAGACACTCTACATGAAAGTGAGGAAGGAGCCCAGGTCCTTATTGATGCACTGGTGAGTGAGATGGGTTGTTTGTCTTTCTCTGCCAATAGATTGACTTGCATGTTGGAGAAGGATGACTAAAACTTCTAAACATCAAGGTGGAATTGTGAGGACTGTTGACCCCAACCATCTCTTGGCATCTGGAATGTAAATGTTTTTACTTGTGCATAGGTGGAGGGTCAGGTGGTTGCTCTACTGGTGCAGAATCTGGATCGTCTGGATGAGGCGGTGAAAGAAGAAGCTGATGGCGTACACAATACACTTGGTATAATATTACATCTCTTACTCACACTTCCTTTTTGTAGTCTCCATATTAAACCGCTTAATCCTATCCTCCGCTTCCTCGCTTTGTTTTCTGGAATATTTAGTTTGACCACTTAGTTGCGTATTAAACCTAGTAACCACCTCGACCAAAGAAGACCTGATCTTTTTCTAGTTTCAGATTATCTTCTTGGTAAATGTTAGTGGTAGCTGTAGACTATCCCGAGCCCGATATCTCTGCTCACTTTTTACTGTTTTACCTGGATTTTCATTATTTATTGCTCATTCACAGAGCAGGTTATCTACATTTATTCTCTTTTCCACAGCAATTATTGAGAACATGACTGAGTTTCGACCCGAAATATGTGCTGATGCAGCTCAACAAGGACTTCTCCAGTGGCTGCTCAAAAGGCTGAAGGTGATTAAACTGAGATGACTCTCTTTTTTTTGTTTTTACTACGTTACAATATCCCAAGTAATTTCCATCTCCCAGTATTCCCGTAGCCTCAGTGTTTCAGAATACTATTAGGCTGGATGTAAAGTCTTTGCCTCCATTTACCAGCTGCTAATTCTCTCAAATTTTGTTTCCTGCTAGGCCAAGATGCCATTTGATGCCAACAAGTTGTACTGCAGTGAAATCCTGGCCATTCTTTTACAGAATAATGATGGTGAGGTTTATGTTTTATTAATGCTGTCTTTATCAGTTTCCGATTGCCTTTATTTTTTTATTTTTTTTAATGTGCTTCTCATACGGTTTTTCTTTTGTATCTGCTCCTCCTATCTTGTTTACCATCTATACCCCTTATTCTTCCTTGTTAAGTTCTCAATCCTCTTTCATCATCTTTGTTTTCTGTTTTCTTGGTGGCATTTTCTCTTCGTTGCTGTGTTTTCTTTGCAATCTCCCCCTTCAGCCCCCCCTTCTGTCTCCTGTTCCACCTTGCCCCTCTGTTACTGTGTATTGATTTCTGCCGCTGATGGATCTATTTTTCTGTGCTGACATTATCTCTCCCCTTCTCAGACACTCGGGAACTCCTTGGTGAACTAGACGGAATAGACGTGCTGCTTCAGCAGTTATCAGTGAGTGCCTCTCAGTTCCTACCCGCTTGCACCTTGGCATATCTCCGAGCAAATAGTGACATGTTGCTGCTTCAGCTTCTAAAAGAGACTCAATGTTTTTTGCTAATGTCATCAGTTTGCCATACTGCCAACTTTATTTTTCCCTCTTTCTCCCACATATATTTTGGGGGTTTCTGACTCTGTAGAGAAGAGCACCAACACCATGTGTTGTTTCATAATATCCCAGGTCTCACAGGGGTAACTGATCTCCCTAAATTGTCATAAGAATCTAAATATGGTCATAATGTCATCCAATGTTAATGCTTTAGTCTGGCATTTGCCCTGAAATGAACCTGACTTGGTCACTGCCCAGTATAACGAACACTTCTCCTCTTTTTTGTCACTTATCTTATTTCCATTAACTAAAAATTGCAAAAGCATCTATATCAGTAGAACCACTTACTAACCATCAAGCTCATAATTTCTTGGTCTAGATAGGAAATAAACACTAGTTTTCAGTTTGCTGATAATCCTTGAACCACTTGTAGTGTGCCATGGATGAGCTGCCTTCTGTCTCCATTTATCATTTGATTTGCGTTTTCTTTTGTTTGCTACAGGTATTTAAACGCCACGACCCTAGCACAGCAGAAGAGCAGGAAATGATGGAGAATCTGTTTGATGCTCTCTGTTCTTGTCTGATGCTCAGCAGCAATAGAGAACGTTTCCTGAAGGGAGAGGGCTTGCAGCTCATGAACCTCATGCTTAGGTGAGATGAGATTGTGTTTACACTCTGTGTCTGGGGAGCTGCAGCTCGAACCACAACCACACATAAAGCAGGAAAACGAAATCCACAAGGGCAGTTTAAGTGGTTATGGTTTAAGGAAGCAACATGCCTGATAAGTAAAAACCGCTATGTTTGTGTAGTAAGGGAAGGTTGACAATGCCTATATTGTTCTTTCAGGGAATCATTAGTCATCATGGCTTTTAAGGAACACTGTACACAACATAACTTCAGATCTGTGTAGTATAGATCCTGCATGCCACAGAGAACCAACGTTTATGTCAAACAAATTCTAAATGGTTTGGCATTAAATTAGAGCAGAGCACCTAGAGTCTGTATAAAACATTATTCCAAGCTGTAATGGTTATGTTGCTTAGTGTCCCTTTAACGAAACACTATATAGTGATAGGGATACACACCTGTATTCCTGTCACTATTGTTGTGAAAACACTAGGCCCCCAGCCCCTTTGTAAGCATTGTAAAAAGTGATTTTACTCTCCTTTTTATTCTAGGGCTGTGAGGGTTAGTCATGGACTGCTCCACCCCCACCCCCACCTCTTTGGCTGAGAAACTTCGAGCTGCGCCAATCTGCATCTCCTCATAGAGATCATTGAATCAATGCAACTCTATGGGGAGCGTTCAGCATCTCCATGCAGAGCGTAGAGACACTGAACGTCAGTACTTCACACTATGCAGCACTGACCCAGGAAGCTCTTTTAGTGGGCATCTGAGTGACAGCCACTAGAGGTGTCCAAAGGCAGTAATGTAAACACTGTGTTTAAAAAAAGAAAAAAAGAAGAAAAAAAAAAGCTATTCTGCAAATAAATGCCAAATAGTGAAAAGTGTGTAGCGCTTTAACAAATAAACAAACTCTTACTCCTGGAATTCTCAGGACATATGGGCAATGGGTGGGAAAATCCTAAAAATGAAATATATAAAATATGGTGCAATATGATCGATATAGTGGTGAGAGAAATATCCTATACTGGATTCATTCACATGGTCAAGAGCCTCTTAAGGACTGGCTCTGATCTCATTAGCTTTTTTGTCCTTAAGGTGACATACACCCTAAACGTCGATATTAGGCGAAAACCTCAAAATGGAGACAAAAAAATTGAAAGAACAGGGAAGCAATGCTGACCCTGGTCCAGAAATCCTTGATGTAATAAAGTGCAGAATATAAATAAAAATTGGCTTCTCACCTTGTCAGGAGCCTATAACTGGGCTCCAAGTATGTGGATATTGTGTCAAATTAGAGTGACACAGCCCTTCTTTAAGCAGCATAGATGTTTAACCAGACTTCTTCTGTAAAAAAGTAAAATTTATTGTAACATATACTATAAAACAAAATCAATATACTTAAGTGCTGGTGATGAGTCCAAGGCGCGTTTAGCCTGTATAATTCGGCTTTATCAGTTGGTGATTAAAAATGCTGCTAGTTCAAATTTAAATACCCCATGGAGGGGAGTTAATTGGTGAATGGTGTCCGTGATACATTCTATCACAACGCTCCGTATCGGTGGGAGTGTTGGATTTCTAGTAGGTTGGAGAGTTCCCACTTTAGTGTGGTAGCTGCTATCGCTTTTTCTTGTACTGTATTGTATTTTATTCTACGATAAGCGCCTTTTATCACCGAATATCCACTCCATTTTACTATATTGTGTAATGTAAACACTACCTTTTCTCTGAAAAGGGGCAGTGTTTACATTAAAAAACAGGGACAGACTGTACACACCGAACAACTACATTAAGCTGTTATTGCTCTGGTGACTATAGTGTCCCTTTTAAGTGTAAAGCAGTTGCTACACTATAACATTCTTTAGTCTTGTCTAGAACATGCCCAGTTCTCCTGGAATTATTTGTAGTTTCTTTATATGGTGGACGCAATGCCTCTATGTAAATAAAATAGTCTGTGGAGCCAGGTATTACACTACTTCATCAATTTCAATCTTAGTATATCCTAGACTTGGGCACCGCCGAAAAGTTAGTTTTGTCCGACTACATTTGCTAGTCTTTTATTTATTTTTTATAACTCCCAGCAGCCAAGGACAAATTTTTTTTGTCCAACAAGCAATTTGTTATTGAATTCATTTGTTGTACTTTGTATTGGGTGAATAGCCAAAATTTGGACAAACACATCTTCGTCCAAAAACGAATGGCCAAGTCTAATAGATCAGTGCAACAATGGATCTGAGGTGGCTAGCCTCTTCCATGACATTCAAATAGGAAAAAGAGATCCGAACACTCCAGATGGGATTAAATGATGACTTTAATAGGAATTAACCACAAGAGATAACATTTCAGCCACACAGTGTGGTCTTTGTCAAGTTTGATAAAGGCCGCATTGTGCAGCCTAGACGTTATCTCTGTGTAAAAGGAGGACTGCATATGAGAAGATTGAGACTGTAATCATGAAAAGGCTGTTAATTCTCAGAACGTTTGTGTATTTTGTTTGTTCTTGCAGAGAAAAGAAGATGTCGCGTTGCAGTGCTCTCAGAGTACTAGATCATGCTATGATTGGCCCAGAGGGCACTGATAACTGTCACAAATTCGTGGACATCCTAGGACTCAGAACTATCTTCCCACTTTTCATGAAATCCCCCAAAAAGATGAAGAAGTCTGGCATACCCGAAAAGGAACACGAGGGTAAATTTCAGAGGGATGTTGGCTCTTTCTCTGCGGAAAGTGGTGGAGTCTGGCACTGCATGTATTATCGAGTAGGGTTGGCAGAACTTCTTATAAAAAGGAAGCGTGGGATCTGGAATCACTATTTTACATGCCAAGTTTTTTTTCTTTTTTTTCTTTTGACAAGACCATGTCTTTGTGCATCCTATTTCAGTCCAATAAAAAATAAATCTGTCTAAAACTAAAGATTGTTAAAAAACAGGGGGATGGGTGGAGATTCTTTCTGATGCTGATACTGGGATTAATACATGTAAACAAATGAGAGAGGCAGCTATGTATTCACCTGCAGCTAAAAATAGGAAATGAACAGTCTGGGAAATAAAGTATATTATCCTTAGGATTCCTATAGTAACAATATATTCTTTAGCACCTTACAATAAAACATTAAGGATATATAACATGTATTGACATACAAAGTAGTGTTGAGTGAGACAATTTAAAAACTGATTATGGGATTCTGGGCAGAATTGCCATTTATTTGTTTTACTGATTTAAAATAATCTCATGTCTATTTTTATTTACGCAGAACACGTCTGCTCAATCATAGCCTCCCTTTTACGCAATCTGAAATTACAGCAGAGGACGAGGCTCATCAGCAAGTTCACAGAAAATGACAGTGAGAAGGTTCGAGGCTAATCCCCCTTTTATTATCCTGAGACCTTCATAGTCCTCTCTCATAACTTTCTTAACTCTTTTTACTCACACCCGTCTATGGATGAATCTTATATCTCCATTTTGATGTATAAAACGCTCTTCGCCTTTCTTGCAGGTTGACCGTCTGATGGAGCTGTACTTCAAATATCTGGATGCTGTGAGGGTTGCAGACAAGAAGATAGAGGGGGAGAAACATGTTAGTATCTTTGTAATTCACGAGGCTGTGATTCCTGGTTAGGTCCTCCTTTTCTGAAGCAATTAAAAATTCTTCTGTCACCGAGCAAACGGCTCTTTACATGCTTAGAAAATCCAATTCCATCTCTAATAGGAAGTCACCATTTGTGCATCCTTTGTTCTTAGTCCATTTAAAAACATAAGAACCTTTTCTTTAATGAGCGATCTAGTTCACGTATCAGAGTTAGATTTAATTTATCACTTGATGTGTCTGTCTTTCTTACTAGGACATGGTGCGCCGCGGTGAAATTTTGGACGATGACCTGGAAGAGGAGTTTTACCTGCGCAGATTAGATGCTGGCCTCTTCTTGCTGCAGCTTCTATGCTATATTATAGCGGAGCTTTGCAACGCAAACATGCCACAGGTATTACCAGTAACTGCAGCCTTCCTCTGCTTTTTCTAGAAAACCCTCCGGAGTCATCCACACCTGGTCACATTATTTAAGGGAACTGGAAAGACTTGAGTCGTTTTGGATAAACTATATGTTTACTTTGGGATATGTCTTCAACACAGAGGGATGCACATACTAATGAGTGAATTGAAAGTAATTGCGTTAAAGGGAACAAAATAGCCAACTGGTCTGTTACTCTGGCCTAAAATTTGCATTTGATTTCAATTTATCACCTTCATTAATTTCTAAAGAATGTCCATTATCACAGGTTTAGTGTTGGGAAGGAGGGACAATTTCTCCTACATCTGCCCTGCTTCTCCTGTCACTAGATTTTGCCCTTGCTCCTTTGGATCTGCTCAGGTTCGTGTTCTGATTCAGGCAGTACGGTGTTAAAAATGGAATAGCATTCAGGAAAGGACCGCTGAGCTGAATAGTCTAAATTAGTGGTTATCAAGGTCTATCAGGTGGTCTGGGATTTAGGGATTATCAAAGAGAGATATTTGTTAAATTATGCACAGTTAATGGCCAGGTGGATTTTCAAGGGTCTGGTCTAAATTGTTCTTCAAATGGCACCCCTAAAGAGTTTTTGTTGGCCCACATTTAGGAAGAAAAGCTAGTTGTACAGTGCTGTGCAGTTTATAAAATATTAAATTGCAACATTTATTAAAACCTCTAAGCTCCGTGCCTAATCTTTTATTTATTTATTTCTATTTAATACAAAACAAATTTGCACAACATTATTGTAATTAGGTTCGACAGGGTTTACTGCACACACAACAAGTCCGCTCAACATCATGGGTGTCAAACATTCCCTGGGCTGCATTGAGCAAAGGAATTGTCATGGGCCACACATAAAATATATTATACCATTTATATAATAAAACTTCAATTCCTTTTCTTAATTATGATATTTCTGTTGTTTAGTAGATAACTCTTATGTGTGATCGCCATATTTAAGCATACCAAATTACGGAGCTATCTGCTAAACACATTCACATGTATATGCATACATAACCACAGAAACACACATAATCATAATCTCATACATACACACATAATCACAGACCCACACACACACACGTACAATCACAGACCTATACACACATTTAGTACATAGGAGTTCCACCGAGCCTCCCTACCTTGCTCTGGGATTGCTGGAGTGGACCATCTCCCTGGTGGCATGTGGTTGGCTCTGGGATCTCTGTGCTCTTCCTGCACAGGTCCCTCGTGCTCCTTCTAGTGATGCCAAGATGACATCATATCCGTGCTGACTGCTCACCACAGGGTGCGCGAGGTGAAGAGCACAGCAAGTAATTGGTTCGCTGCCTCCCTCACCACCTGGCAGTCTGGACAGGTAGACTGGGCCTCATTTCAGGTGGCTCAGGACCACATGCGAGCCCATGGGCTGAGGGTTGGACATGCCTGTTCTAAATGAAAATGTTTTCCCTATAGTGTGTAGTTGATATTATGTGAAATATTTTGCTTAATTATTGTAAATATGACAACTATCTTTGCTAAACAGTATATTGAAAGTCCTACACTTCTATACCAGAAGTCTCAAGGTCAACAGTGACAGATTATTGGTTTTAATTGTAATAGACCAAAGGAATTGGGGTTCCTTTTAAATATAAAAATGTGGCTCTCTTGACTGGTATAGGTGAATGACTTCTGGTGACCCTGACAGGTTGCATATTCCCTGCACAGGAAAACATTGTATGATTCTTAAAAATTGCTGTTTTGTCCTCCAACTATGTGCAACTTATGTGTAACTGTTGCTTCTTTAAGTTTCTTCTGTGGGGGCAATTCTCTGAAAGATTACTGCTGTTCATTTGTCAAAATTCATTGGTTTAACTTTTTTGGCTATTCCCAAAAGACAAGTTTCAACATTCATACATTTTATACACATCCTGGGAGCTTTACTTATTTCAATGCACCATTCTTGATTTTCATGTCTTTGCTGTATCCTGTTAAAGTCAAAGTATCATGGCTGCTCTCTTAATTCCCCTCCACGTGTTTTTCAGATACGACAGAGAGTGATGCAAATTTTAAACATGAGAGGAAGCTCTGTGAAAATTCTTCGGCACATTCTGAAAGGTAAGCATCATGCAAAGATTTAAAACAGTCATCTTCTTGACCTTTTTAACTTGTACAATACCTTGAAAGGGAATATGAATAGTGAGGCATAGAAGGACTTCTATTGAGTGAATATATTAAGTAATAGGAGGAGATAGTTTGGGTTATGGAGTAATAGAAGTACTCCTACATAAACATGTTAAAGCTCCTTGACTTTGTGACCTGTGTAGTGCAGATGAAGGTATTATTTGAAAACTAGGTGAAATAGGTTAAAGTAAAAGTGTACTTTGCTTCAACTACCCAAAATCCAACCTTCTTTTACAGAATATTCAGAGAGTATCGGAGACGGAAAGAGTGCAGAGTTCCGGGAGAGTGAACAGAAGAGAATCTTGGAACTGGTGGAGACTTTGTAGAATTAAATTCCCCACTGATTGATAATATTGCACCATTAAGAGCACGGTGTAATTGATATGCGGAGAAATTGCACCGTAAGGACCTGATGTGACTGATATTCCGAAACATGCCTCAAGATCGTGGCGAACGGAATATTCATAGTAATGCACCATATCTCTGGTGTCAAGGATCTGCTTTTGTATATAGTGATTACTAGTGTGTGTGGAATATGCCGTCTGCCCTTTAAACATGTTACATCTACAGCAAAAAATATCTAACTCTTGCCCTCCACGCATTGTACTAAAATCCCAGAATCCTCTTAGGTAGTGGCGTATTCACGGCTGAATGACCAAGGTTAGACATCCTCGTTCTACAGCTGCTGTATCTGTTTCATCACAAGATGAGGGATGTCTGCAAAATATCTCACGGGAATATCTTGTATAGATATTTTTATATAAAGTACATAAATTAAATATAGATCTGTGATTTTGTTTTTTTTCTGCTAATCTCAGCAAATATTTCAGAAGCACGATACTGCTACAAGTTACTAAAACATACACAAGGGAAGCAATTTCATTAGGTGCACTGTGGAAAGCGCATAATGCTTTCTTTGTTCCATGTAATATTCAGTGTAAACTAATAAATGGTTTTAATTATCTCTGGTACAAAAGTATTCGTTACTTGCAACACCGCAAAAATATTTTGTTTGGGAATATTCAATTTTTGGTATGGTTTTTGCTCAACCTCTTCCACTAGCAACCCCATGTACACACATTGCATCCTTTTTGAAGTGCAAATAATATCATGCTTACATTCCAGTCATTTCCCAGCGGAGAGCTAAATTTCGATCAGGTTGATTTCCCTGCCTAATATTTAGGGACGGTGTCACACCCTACACAGTGCAGAAGCCTGCATGGCTCTATATGTACTGTGCTACTGAAAATAATTTGGGGGAGGAAGACTTATAGAAAGCAGAGGACACACAGCATTTGTTTAGGCTGCAATAGCAGCCCATACTTCTCTTTTGAAAGACAAATGCCTGGTTTAGGAAGGCAACTGTATTTACTGTATCTGGGCATTCTACCCCAGACTGGAATGATGTTCACATTCTACATGGAGGCTGATTTTTAAAATGACAAACATATTTCTTATAAATACATGTAGGCAGGTAATTTAGAATCACATCCTGAATGTTAAATATTTGTCATTTGGTGCTATTTTTTTCTGAATCTGTTAGGTTTACTTTTTCAGAATCCATAAACGTTGGTAATGTTTTGTATTTCTCAGCAGGTGGTTCCACACAGGGTTATTTACGAAAGTGATAATTCATGGTGAATTTAAAATTTTACGATCAGGTTAGCTGGATTGTTTTTTATCTTTGATTATTTTGACCTTAAATTTGAAATTCAGTTTGAATTCTTAGTTTGGTTATTGACCCTGACCGTATTTAAGGCTCACCAGTATTCCAGGATGTAAGCGGTCCCCAGTTCTGTTCCTATGGTGATACCAAAAAATTTGGATGAGTAGTATGCTTTTGATGATGGGTGCAAATTACTGATTTAGACAGCCATTGTGGTTTTGTTCTATTTTCATGTTCTTGCTATGTATCCCTTGTTTAAAAAAATATATATTTTTGTGCAAAATAATTACGCATTGAAATAATTAGTCTTCATGTGAATACCTTGGCTAGTAGTACATGTACCACGGCTTCTAATGATTCTATGTGGCTAATATAGCCTGTTTATACCAATATGGCCGTTAGTAGACAGTCTCTTTCTCCTTGTTATTTTTAGCCTTATTTATTCACATATATTCTAACTTTAATAAAAGTTCTATTTTAATCTATCCTCCTTGTACATAGTATACTACAGACAGGTAGAATGGCACATTTTTCTTTTGTTTGTTTTTTTCACATTGATATTTAAAATGTGGCTTAAGAAAAGACAGACATGTTGAAATTGTCTAAAACCTATTTTTCTTATTGATAATTAAGTTTGAGTTTGACCGTTGAGGTACTTCCACACTGGTACCAATAGGAGCAGAATTCATTACCACTGACAATTCCTAAATATTTAAAAATACATAAATAAGTTTTTCTGCGTTTTAGACTTCCAACTGAGATGAATTTTAAGAATAAGCCGCTACTCACAGCTATAACCTTTCATGGTTTGAAGAAGCCTCTCCGGTTACTTAAAGGAACACTATATGGTCAGGAACACAACCATCTATTCCTGGCTCTATAGTGTTTCATCCACCATTTAGGTGGCTTTCCCCCTTAGAAAAGGTGAAAACCAAGCTTATTTCCAGTGCCGTGCGGGTCTGCCGACGCTGGCCCTGCTCGTGATCCGCCTCCTTGGAGACATCAAAATTGCCTATGGAAAAGCATTGGATTGATTGAAATCGGCATGGGGGCAGGACCAAATGCCATTTTACCAATCAGCACCTCCTCATAGAGATGCATTGAATCAATGCATCTCTATGAGGAAAATTCAGCGTTCCCATACAGAGCGTGGAGACACTGAACGGCAGCACTGCCCCAGGAAGCACCTCCAGTGGTCATCTGAGGAGTGGCCACTTGGAGGTGTCCCTAGGGGGCAATGCAAAGAATGCCTTTTCTAGGAAAAGGCAGTGTTTGCATGAAAATGCTTAAAGGAACACTATAGTCACCTAAATTACTTATCTAAATAAAGCAGCTTTGGTGTATAGATCATTCCCCTGCAATTTCACTGCTCAATTCACTGTCATTTAGGAGTTAAATCACTTTGTTTCTGTGTATGCAGCCCTAGCCACACCTCACCTGGCTCTGATTGACAGAGCCTGCATGAAAAAAAAAAAAAAACTGGCTTCACTTTCAAACAGATGTAATTTACCTACCTTAAATAATTGTATCTCAATCTCTAAATTGAACTCACATACAGGAGGCTCTTGCAGGATCTAGCAAGCTATTTACATAGCAGGGGATAAGAAAATCTTAATTAAACAGAACTTGCAATAAAAGCCTAACTAGGGCTCTCTTTACAGGAAGTGTTTATGGAAGGCTGTGCAAGTCACATGCAGGGAGGTGTGACTAGGGTTCATAAACAAAGGGATTTAACTCCTAAATGGCAGAGGATTGAGCAGTGAGGCTGCAGGGGCATGTTCTATACACCAAAACTGCTTCGTTAAGCTGTAGTTTTTCTGGTGACTATGGTGTCCCTTTAATTTTTTATATATATTTGACAATTTGTATTTGTTTTCAAAGGAGGGGGGGGGGGTTAGAGGGTACAGAAATAAGAAAAGGGGGGGAGGGCAAGAGAGTGTTTGTACAACTGCTGGTACTTGTTTATTAATCACATTTAATATTCAATAATACTGTGATACATGTGCACCATCTTTAGAAACAATATATTGAGTTGTACTGTAGTAGGAGAACGGGCAGACGTACCCTGCTTCTAGATAGCATTGCACCTTGTCTTGTAATAAAGCATTTCCTACTCTACTCATTGTCTCCCACTGGTGTTCAGTCCTAGACCCCGGAACACAGCCCTCATACTGAATTTGTATCCCATTCTGGTGCTCCCATAACAAGCTGCACTCTCCCTGACAGTGGGACAAGTGTCTAGATCTACATTATTGATCAAGGTACACCCATCTCCACTTATCCCATGCCGCCAGTGCTGTGTGTGTGGGGTGGCAGACATGACTAAAGCAGCGTTCATATATGTGTTGTTTATCTAATTCCCCTAATAGAGTGGGTATTGATGGTTGGTGTGAGGACTTCCAGGCCCTGGCTATCAACCGTTGTGCTGTCAGCAACACGTGATAAGTTTAGGAACGCCAACCGGAATGTGCAGCAACTGATAAGCAAGTGGGTGAAAAGGCAGCGAGGAATCTGTGATCTCTCTCAAGAGGGCATGGATCGATTCCCAAAACTTTACAATCATCAGACACTGCCACCAAATGTTTAATACTATACTATTCTCTCAGCTACATCTCCAACACAGCGGTGAGCTATTAGGGAACACTTTGTGGATCCGCTCTGGTACCATGTACCACCTGTACACCATTTTCCGCTGTTGCTCAATAAGGCTAGCAGATTTAACAAGCTCTTTGGGGGCTTTAAAGATGGTTTCCCATTGTTGTTTAGTGACCACACAGTCTAAGTCCATAGCCCATCGTATGGTAGGTTTGGAGTCAGGGAACGTCAAGAACTTTAGTAGCATTTTGTAGCACATGCAAATAGGTTTGCAAAGGGGTTTCAATACCTGCATAGTGAGTTTTAATTGTGCAGGGGCATCTTGAAGGGGTGGTCGAAGCTGCCGAAGCAACCACAGAATACTAGGAAGGTCAAGTAGTTGAACTAATGCTCACTCCAATACTATCCACTGAGGCGGAGGTTGATCTAAAATAATAGATCAGGGTGATGCAGTAGACATTGCTTACCTAGATTTCAGTAAGGCTTTTGACACTGTTCCACATAGAAGGCTCATCAATAAACTGCAATCTTTAAGTTTGGATTCCAATATTGTTGAATGGGTAAGGCAGTGGCTGAGTGACAGGCAACAGAGGGTTGTAGTCAATGGAGTATATTCGAAGCATGGGCTTGTCACCAGTAGGGTACCGCAGAGATCTGTACTTGGACCCTTTCTCTTCAATATTTTTATTAGTGATATTGCAGAAGGCCTTGATGGTAAGGTATGTCTTTTTGCTGATAAGATATGTAAGCCAAATGGCAAATGATTTGGCTTACAGGAGGGATAAGCCAAATGATTTAGGTGAACTAGAAAAATGGTCAGAGTTGTGGCAACTGACATTTAATGTGGATAAGTGCAAGATAATGCATCTTGGACGTAAAAACCCAAGGTCAGAGTACAGAATATTTGATAGAGTCCTAACCTCATCATCTGAGTAAAGGGATTTAGGAGTCATTATTTCAGATGACTTAAAGGTAGGCAGACAATGTAATAGAGCAGCAGGAAATGCTAGCAGAATGCTTGGTTGTATAGGGAGAGGTATTAGCAGTAGAAAGAGGGAAGTGCTCATGCCATTGTACAGAACACTGGTGAGACCTTACTTGGAGTATTGTACACAGTACTGGAGACCGTATCTTCAGAAGGATATTTATACCTTAGAGAGGGTTCAGAGAAGGGCTACTAAACTGGTTCCTGGATTGCGGGATAAAACTTACCAGGAAAGGTTAAAGGATCTTAACATGTATAGCTTGGAGGAAAGACGAGACAGGGGGGATATGATAGAAACATTTAAATACATAAAGGGAATCAACACAGTAAAGGAGGAAACTATATTTAAAAGAAGAAAAACTACCACAACAAGAGGACATAGTCTTAAATTAGAGGGACAAAGGTTTAAAAATAATATCAGGAAGTATTACTTTACTGAGAGGGTAGTGGATGCATGGAATAGCCTTCCAGCTGAAGTGGTAGAGGTTAACACAGTAAAGGAGTTTAAGCATGCGTGGGATAGGCATAAGGCTATCCTAACTATAAGATAAGGCCAGGGACTAATGAAAGTATTTAGAAAATTGGGCAGACTAGATGGGCCTAATGGTTCTTATCTGCCGTCACATTCTATGTTTCTAGTGGCTGGATCTAGAAAATGCAGTAAGGCCGAGGCCAGGATGGTTGCATAATAGTAAGTTTTTACCTGGGGAACCGCTAACCCCCCTTCGTGAAGCGCGCCCTGCCCAAATAAATATTGTCATGTCAGCTTGGATGTTTTTATAGGAGGCGCGCCATGTTTGCTGTTAGGGGTCTTTCTACACCCCTTCTTAGTTGCCTTGTTCTTTTGCCTCTGGGACATGGTGTAGTTGGGAACTCATTGCTTGAGTTTTTTATTGCTCAGTAGACCGCTTATTGTTGGCTCCTAGGCGCCTGAATTTTGGGAGCTTCAAAAATGTGCATCCATGTAGTTCAAGGTCCAAGCCACGTCCCCGTCTCCCTTTAATTTTAATCTCCATTCATGAGTCAACAAAGTACCTTTTTCTTTTGAAATCAGGGCTATGTTTTCATGTGTTCCGCCATCTCTGAAGTTAGAGTTTCATTCTGAAGTTGGGAACTAAGAACTTTGTATATGTTTTTTTATTGTAATACAATATCTTTTTAGCCAGAGATTTAGGGGTCATGAAACTTTGGACATGGGTATGCCCACTGCCGTCTAAAGGCAACATTTATATAAAAACTTTATTTAGGAGAACCTTACATTAGAAAGTCAAAGTAAGTGTCTGTGCTCACTCACAATGTCATGGAATTAAATGGCATCAAGACATTTAGAACTTTACTAAGCCGCCTAGGAATCTGGCTTTACAAGCCATCTAATAATATGTATGCCCAAGGCATAGTAAAGAAAGGTGAATGAGTAGCACAATAATGGAACACATAGGGTAAAACATCATCATTAACTGCATGGCAGCAGAATGTTTGGGCTTTGGGTGTGGAAGATCACCATTGTTTGTTTTAAAAATGGATTTACAAAAAAAATCCCTGTACCACAGCCACTAGTATAAGCTGTAGTGATTATACGGCTTCCTATTGAAACAAACTGTTTATATGGAGAGACCTTCTGGCTGATCTCCTAAAAGCAGAGCTGTCATACTTGAGATCAGAGTATATCTGAGTTCTGGTGATAACAGAAGATATTAACTTGTCAGTTATCTATATATTCAAGTTTATGTTTAATATAATCAGATCTGACTTCTAAAATGGCACAACTGCGGCATTTAATGCAAATTAACTAGGTATCCCCTCTCATTGTGACCAAAATAACCTACCCAATATCTTAACAGAGTTACCATTCATGATCACATACACAGTTTGCCTTTCTTATGACTCTTTGTAGGCTAAATATTTTTATTGGAATACTTCTAATAGAGGTGATTAACTTATTTCCATCTTGGGTCTTACAGGGGGATCATCCACTCCTCCATTAGAGTTGTTGTCTTTTCAATGTAGATCTTTGTATCTAGACTCTAGAGGTTAAAGGAACACTAGGCATTATAACTGATTCATCTCAATGAAGTGGTTATGGTGTTTGGAGTCCCAAGGCGCTATCGTTCTATTCAGCATTAAATTGTTTTAATGCAAACATAGTACCCAGCACCTTTTTGTCCCGGTTCTGCTGATAATAAAGTATTCTCAGCAATGGGCCGCTGTGATTGGCTGAGAGTGTCAGCTGACCGCTTTCAGACTATCACAGTGCTCATTGCTGGTATAGCTACAAGGAAGTGTGTAATCTCTGCTTTAGCTACACCTCTGGTGGGGCCGGGCTTTTGAAAGCCAGAGACTCTCATTCAGTGTTAAATTGCTCAAAAATGAATAGAGCAACAGTACCATTGGACTCCAGGCACTATAACCACTTCAATTAGATGACATTTTTATAGTGCGTACAGTTACCCTTTAAGGGAAAATCCAACTAATTGTTGTATGTGTTTTTTAATTTTACTATCTTATTCATAGTCTGTCTTATGTGGGTTTATATTTGTTGTGCCAGGAGACTATTCACAGCTTTTCCTGCTGGCCTGTGTGTTTTAGGTATTATGTAAATGTTACGTTCTCTCCTAGATAAAAAAAAATCAGCTTCCACCTGATTGATTGCGACAATATTTGATGGAGTAAATGAGGAGGTGGAGGAGGTATACCTGTGGTTATGGGGGTAATAGCAAACAATGATTAGATTCTTTATTACATTGTAGCATTGGACCTTGGCAAGGCTGGATAGGAACTCATTTTGTGTATATTTCATTTAAGTTAGAGTCCTCTAGCCCTGAAACAGTTAATTGCACTCCCCTCCCCT